TTTGTTGTTTTTCTTATTCAATGACTCGTAACATTTAGGCAAAAGAAAATCACCATTTATTAACAAATCAATGCACTGTCCCCTGTTCCCCTCTACCTACCCAGGGAGGAGAAAAAATCGTTGCTTCTTGAAGAAACTTGCATTTTCCAAAAGGCACTGTACTCTTTCACAACCTTTTATATTTCTCTTTACCAGTGATCCAGTCAACTTGAGACAACAGAGAGTTTCGTGAACAGGACCCTTGAAGAGTTTAGTAACATAATTCTCAAAATATGATCGTTTCTACTATAAACATGGTCCTATTCTTTAAATATTTGGAGCACAAAAATATCTTTCGGCCATTTACTCTTAGAAGCCTTTTTAACTTCTATAATATGCAGAATTAATTATTTATAACACAATAAGAATGATTAAGATTCTGTATGGACACAAACACAAAATTGTTGTTTTTAGAATTTACATTAAAAATTCTTCATCTTGGGTACATGGGTGGCTTAGTCGGTTAAGTCTCTGCCTTTAACTCAGGTCATGATTTCGGAGTCTTGGGATTGAGCTCTGCATCAGGCTACCTGCTTCTCCTTTTCCCTCTGCTTGTGCTCTCTCTCTCAAATAAACAAATAAAATATTTTTTAAAAATTCATTTTGGTAGTTATAATAATGTATTACAATTATTAGAGATCCACACCAATAAAGGATAACTAGAAATTATTACAAACATGAGGAAGCATATTTTTTACATGAATTACTTTAAAGTTTCAGAAACAGATAATCTTTACTACAACATTAAGAAGACTTTTGGGTGAATAAACTGAAATAAAACAGGATCAAAGAATCTCTTTGCCACCACCTAATGAAATGGATAATATAGTAAAAGAAATACAGCTAAAAGCCACCAAGGAAAAGGTCATGTTATATGCATATTATGAATTTAGGAGAAAAAATGTCATAAAATGAAGATGTATCCCTATGGACTATCCCAGAGCTTTTTTTAAAAAAAAAGAAAAGTAAAGATCTCCTGCTAAATAGTTTTAGTATAATTCTATATCTTGATGAATGGGGAGAAATAGTACATTATTTAATGACCATTTATGAAATGCACCTTTTCAAAACTCTCCAAACTCCCAGAAACATTCCTAAAATAACATGTGACTTAAAAATGTCTCACTAATGCCCTAATATGTACTAGGTTTACATTTCCCCTTTGTGTAACTACTTACAGTTACCCAAGGGAAAATCATATGAAAATCCATTGACAGATGGAACCCCAATCGACACCAAAGATGCTCATGCTTGGGGTCAGCATTTTCCAGCATCCATCAAAGGCTATAATTAACTCCAAGTTCCCTCCTTTCCCTAGCTTCTCATCCTGAAGCAAGGCAAGAGCTGGTAGCAAAATCCAGCTCTCAAACTACGGCACCCAGAAAGAGGATTCAGTGAACAAAAAAATAAAAAAAAACTTTGTGAAAGCATGACTAGAGAAATTTACCTACAATCTTTCAGGTTAAATAGAAGATTTGCCAGAACAGTCTATTATCACACATCAACATTATAAAAATAAAGGCACGATAGTCATATGAACTTTCTTTTGAAAAAAATGAGAAAAAGGAGGAGAAAAAAGAAAGAAGAAATAAATACTGAATGAAAAAAGTAGGTAAGGTAGATAAAAAAAAATCCAATCTGTGGGGAAGAAAAAGGAAATAAAGCAAATCTCCATAAGTGAGTAATAGGTAAAGGATAATGGGTAGAGTACAATTACATTTTTCAAAAGGAGTTCCAAGAAGAGACAGCCAACTAGAATAATATAAAAGTGGAAATTACAAAACTAAAGATAAAAAATAACAAAGACTCAAGTCAGAATATTGAATCCAATTAAATATAGAACTCAGATTAGACAAACTGGAGGGAATATGGTTGCAAAACAGAATATTAAAGTTATAGATCATGAAAAAATAGTAACACTACAAGCAGCAAAATCAGATGCTGAGAAGCAGTGAGGCAGGAACAAAAGGGGTAATGATAACATGAACATTAAAATAAATTAACATTGATTTTGTGTACTTAAAATGTGCAAGGTACAATCCTATTCATTTTCTCAATGAATTATCTCATTCAATCCTAAAAACAAATTTATAATCTATAGTGTCTAAACTTTTTTTTTACAGTTGAGAAAATTAAGAAATAGTGATACTAAGTAATTTGCCCAAGTATGTGGAGAAACTAAGATTCAAATCCTATCATCCTAATGCCAGAATTTCCCTTATTATCCACTGCTTAACATGGCCATGACTTCACTTTGAATTGAGAGTGTAATTTGATTCACTTTGACTTTGCTCATTATTTTCTGCATCACTTAAAGAAAGGTAGTTACTTTTATGAAAACACTTAATTCATTACTCTAAGAAAAACCTCAAACCTATGTCATTAATATAAAGACAGGGAACGATTGGGCTAAATAATCTCCCAGCTTAATCCTTAGATCTGTGGTGACACCCTAAGAATCAGAAAGCCCTACTTGAATTTTTTGAGGTAGGCAGTACCACGCTGCTAAAGTGGAAATAAAATGCCTGCCAAAGTTAGTGACAGTCAATTCATGGTAGAGCTAGCACATATTTTTATAAAAATTAAGGACTTCAGGCTAAATATGCTTAATATAATTGCATATTTTGAAGGGAGGAGAAACAGTGGTTTATATAATGACCATTTGTGGAATGTGCTTTTCAAAATAAATTGATGATGATGCATGGTCCAATTGAAGTTTTCATCATCTTCTGATTCAGTCAGTATTTTCCATAAAACCTAGAGACTCCATCAACCAAATCAAAGAGTTTTATAGGGCAATATTTATTTGAATTTAGTTAACTGTACTTGTATTTTTTTTAAAGAGCAGATCTGTTACATTGCAGTAGTACATGAATATATGAATACATAATATGTTCCCAAATTAAATTTTCCATTTTGAATAGAAATTTAGAAATAATGACAAGCTCTGCAAAAAATATAATCAAATTATCCTTCAGCTCAACTGTCTTATCAATTTGTTAATAACTAAAATGACTAGAAAACAGAAAAATGCTGAAAAGACAAAACCATGGCTTAGAAAATATAATAGGATTTTTGTTTTAAAAAATGAAGGTGAAAGTGTCCTTCTATCCACATTAAAGAAATAAAATTTATATAATAGCTTATAATAGAAAATTGTAGGAAAAACCAAATAATAAACCTTAATGACATCTACCAGCAGTTTTTAATGTAATAATTTTTTATCTTTTTCTTTTCACCCATATATCTATATGCATAAACAGTCTATACCAGACAAGGACATTCATGGGTTTATCCTTGGCTTCCTCCTTGTAATTTAGTGGATACAGAGTTCCAAGTTTGAAGGTCAAGATGTTTGAGAAGTTTGAGATCAAAAAGAAGGATGAATAATGAAGATGGAATTATTTTCAAAACTGCATTAGTTATATTAACACAGACACTATGGGACTGTTTGTTTTGTTGTGTTTTACATTTTGATTTGAGCTTGAGCTTTTGTTTTTCAAAGACAGTGTAGCAAAAAAGTAAACAAGACTGGATAGGAGTCAGAAGATCTGGCTCATGTCTACTATCATTTATAAATTGCACAGGACTTAATTTCCTAGAAAACTTCAGGAGTTTTAAAGCATCAAACAAAACACATCAAGGAAAGTGCCTCTTAGGCAGAAGACCCTCTCTGTATATTTGTATTATTTAGTATATTGTATACTATGTACAATATACATGTAGACAATTTATGTATATTGTATTATTCTTTCTCATTTATATATAATATGAAAAATTATTATAGATTAATACAGCAACTTTGCTTGAAAACATACAAGTAAGACATCTCTTATAGCACAAACCTGAAAAAAAATATTGTCAGATGCAAACCTTTAGTATTGTCAGATGCAAACTTTTAGGATGCAAGATTTTTTAAAGTAAATGGAAAGATTTTAATAAGTGTATGTCTCTACACTGTTTAGTACTCCTTTTGTTGCTTTCATTCAGTGACCCTGAAAATGGTTAGTTTTTAAAAAGTGAGGGCATTGTTGACAAGATTGAGATTCAGAAAACTAAATAATTTAAAGAACCAGAATTTTAAAATGTGATACAGACCCAGAAATTTTAGCTTAGGTAGGTTCCAAAACAAAGTGCAACAAACAAAAACACCTGTATGATCAATGTAACTCTAAATGTAGGGCAAGCATCTACAGATTGTAAACTCTCTAGGGTCCTTTTAGAGCACAGTTGATTTGGTGTCATTTTCTCTTTTTTGTTGGTTCTACTGGGACCCAGATACAAGCTACGTGAACTCTGTTGTCAACCTAAGACCTTTCTGTAATAAAGAAAGGATTGGACTGTGGTCTCTTGAGTGTGAGATAATGTAAGGCTTGTCTGAGGAAACCTTTTGCAGTCATAACCAGCTGTCCCATGGCTGATAATCAGAGGTGATGTGAAATTCTGAAATCAATGTGCAGAAATGTATAAGGGAAACATAAGAAACAAGTTTAAGAATGGATTTTTTTAGTTTCAAAGAGATTGTAGTTGAAATACCACTAATGCCTATCATTATTTTCATCCCTATTGTTTATTTTCCATAAACAATAACGATTTTTTCTCTACAAATCTTGAGTTTTTTTTTTCTCAAGGTAACAATATCTGCATAATTAACGACTTCGCTAAAAACAAAACTCTTGACGTATTTCCCTATTGCCCCAGGGTAAACAATAACTTTCTCTATAAATCACATGCAGACTGTTTTCATTCGCACTTGAAGGAAATTATCATTATGCGGTTAGAACTCTGCTTTAATAGAAAAATTATTTCTCTCATAGTCTATATTCTAAAAACTGGATAAACAATTTTAAAATATTTAACAGAATGTTTAAAAATATTTATATTTTGTCAGAAAATAAAATTCATCAGTGAGCTTGTGGGAGAGACCAGCATGGGCAAAGGAGTCGGTGCTGCCAAAGAGTTCAGGAGTGCAGAGCTCTCCACTTGCCCAGAGAGCCACGACTGGGAACGTATTTGACTCCACAGCCGTCGGGGATGAGGCGCTTCTTGGCCACTTTGTCTTCAAATTCATTAGCATTAAACTTGGTAAAGCCCCACTTCTTGGAGATATGGATCTTCTGGCGGCCAGGGAACTTGAACTTGGCCCTGCGCAGGGCTTCGATCACGTGTTCCTTATTCTGAAGCTTGGTGCGGATGGACATGATGACTTGGCCAATGTGGACTCTGGCCACCGTGCCCTGCGGCTTCCCGAATGCGCCTCGCATGCCTGTCTGGAGCCTGTCAGCCCCGGCGCAGGACAGCATCTTGTTGATGCGGATGACATGGAAGGGATGAAGCCGCACTCGAATGTGAAAGCCATCCTTGCCACAACTCTTCACCATGTACTTGTTGGCGCAAATTCGAGCGGCCTCCAGGGCTTCGGAGGAGAGCTGCTCGTATTCATCAGACACCATGTGGCCGCACAGTGGGAACTCATCCACTTTTGCCTTCTTCCGACCCAGGTCAAAGATGCGGATCTTGGCATCCGGGACTCCTCGGCAGAAACGAGACTTTGGATACGGCTTGTTTTTACAATACCGGTAACAGCGAGCTGGTCTGCGGCCCATGGCAACGCCAGGAACCTCGGCCTGCGTCGAAGGGAAAGAGGCGCGCGCTCCCCCCGTCGGCGCATGCGCCTTAGTTCCAGCGCCTCTCTTCCCACGTGGGAACCATAGAGTCCTGATGACGACACGGAGACGCTCTTTCGGGACATCCCCACCGTAGACACAGCGACTCTACTGCTTTGTGAGTACAACTTGGCACATGCGCAGAGCGGAGAGTGGCTGGGTACAGTTTGCCCGGGCTGGCGGGGTGACGAATTGGGCTTTGCCACGACAGCCGGGGAAACTAGTCTTGGGCATGGATCTTTTGCCCTAGGCTTTGTTATAGGTATAAAAGTCCTATTTTTGTAGAGTTTAAATAAGGAAGCCGCCTCCGGCTATGCAATATACTTTGTTTCTAGTTTGTCTAAATAATTCATTTTCCGGAACTCTGTTTCCCACTATTTATAGATCAATTGCTATTTCTCAAAGAGCATGTGGTTTTCTTTTCTACATAAAGTGGTTTCTTGGCATAGGCTGTCTGATAAGGTTCAAAAAAGAGATCAGAGTGGGAACAGATACCTGTTGCATATGTTGCTTGATAATTGCTTTAGAAACATTAAATTTTGGAGTTTTATTTGCCCATATAGAATGAGCTTATTAGCAAAACAGCATCCACAAAATTGAAATATTAACTGAATTTTTCAACTTAAGGCTATTTTCATTTTCAAGGGTCACAATTGCTAGAAGCTATAGAAGATTAACTATTTATGCTTTATTAATCTTTTACACCTGAGAATCAGTATAATCCTTTTTCCCCCATATGATAAGAGATTAAAAAAAAAAAACTATTATGATTGGGATCATAATGTGGGAAGGAGGAAAATGAGAGAAAGAGAATTTGCAAATACTCTATAATCCCTACCTGAATTTTTGCAGTTTTGTTTTGATCCCTTAGTGCTATTTCACAAATCCATGACATCGTGGAACAAAGTCCTTCCAATGTGAATATACTCTACTCATGCTTTCTCTTTAAAAAGGACACAAATAGAGGTGCCTGGTGGTTCAGTCATTTAAGCATCTGACTCTTGGTTTCAGCCCAGGTCTTGATCTTAGGGTTGTGAGTTCAAGTCCCATGTGGGGCTCCACACCCAGCCTGGCACCTACTTAAAATAAAATAAAAATAAAATAAAATAAAATAAAATAAGGGAAACAAATTAGCTGTAACAAAATCATTTCTGTCCTTAAAGTGAGTGGTATTTTACAAAATATCCGGGGGATCCCTGGGTGGCGCAGTGGTTTGGCACCTGCCTTTGGCCCAGGGCGCGATCCTGGAGACCCGGGATCGAATCCCATGTCGGGCTCCTGGTGCATGGAGCCTGTTTCTCCCTCTGCCTGTGTCTCTGCCTCTCTCTCTCTCTCTGTGACTATCATAAATAAAAAAAAAAATTAAACAAAATATCCATATCAGGAAAGAAATATTAAAACTCCCAATTTAGAGAACTTTTCCATATTATATTAAAGCTTGCTCATGTCTCCTTTCTTTGTTTATTTCTACCTTCACATTTTTCTTAAATAGGTCCTATTTACTGTATAAGCCTGATTATGGAGAGAAAGCAGCAAGGAAGGTTGTATTGCTCACACTGATCTTACAAGTGTAGGAGAGGATTTGAGTGCTCCTCAAATATGTCATCTTATTACTAAGTACAAAATGTGCCAAAAAGGAGAAGCAGAGTGAGCCCTGAGAGCCTGGGATGAAGCCCTGAGCTAGTCTGAGAAATGGACAGGAACAACTTGATCAGGAAAGAGATTTCATACAGTGGCTATGTATGTCACGCAGGGCTTGGCATATGCAAAGTCCCTAAAGCAGGCAAGAACCTGAACCATTTAAGTAACTAAAGTAAGGCCAGTATAACTATGAGTAAGGGGGTGAGTGGCACACTTATGAATATAGCGTGTGTATGAGGGGGCCTTGTGTGTCATACAAGGTCCATTTTACCAAATTAGGGATTCTGCTCTTTTAAGACCATTGAAGAGCTTTCCACAGGTTTTATCGCTCTTGTTGTATATAACATGGTCAATATCACTCTTGTATAAAATATTGTCAATTGACTGGAAGGGACAAAAAATGGATGCAGGGAGGTTAGTTAGGAAGGAGGGCTTTGCAAGACCAAAGGAAAAAATGAGGATAGTTTCAACATGCTTTGAATATCTTTAACTTTATAAACATGTTTGCATCTGTTTCTATTACTGCATGCCTAGAATATATCATCATTCTGGGGGAAAGGAGTCTGTGAGGTAAAAGGAATATAGCCAGAATTCATGTGCCATCTCAGTCATTAACACTTATCTAGGTCATGCTTTAGGTTTTCAAAACCCTAGAATTCTCTGACCAACAGATGTGTTATCAGGGACTGTTTGCATAATCTTTTTTTCTTAATCCAAAAGTGAGTAATCATGGCTTGCTGGAATTGTACCAATTTTAGAACTGAAGTCCTGTATCCTCCAAAAATCCTTAGTCCTGGGCAAAATGGAAAGGTTGGTCACCCTATCACATTTATGCCTGGGGCCCCTAGCAGTTGCAGGACAAAGTCAGAGGGCCAGAAGAAATTGTGAGAGCCATACTGGGATTCTCCATTTATATTCCTTTCTTGAGCCTTGTCAGAATTAGATGGGACCCTGTGGAAAATGCATAAGCCACACTATTCTTTTTTTTGTTTTAAGATTTTTATTTATTCATGAGACACACACACAGAGAGAGAGAGAGAGAGAGAGAGAGAGAGAGAGAGAGACAGGCAGAGGGAGAAGCAGGCCTCCAGGATCAGGCCCTGGGCTGGAGGTGATGCTAAACCACTGAGCCACCTGGGCTGCCCAAGCCACACTATTCTATTTAAATGTTGAAAGCATTACCCTTCATCAATTCCAAAAACTTGATTTTTCCCCTACCTTCCAACTCCTGACACCCACAGTGTGCGTCATGCTTAGCCAACCTTGCAAAAAAAGTGTAAAACTTGTCTGATTTGAGGTAGCCTGAAATATAGTCATGAAGATGATACAAGGAAAATCAGGTTTTCCTTATTTGCTAAATTATTTACTTTGATAAGTGCAATAAAAATTTAGCAAAGGGAGATACTGGTAAAATAGAGAAGGCTTAAAGAGTAAGTAGGACATATGTAGGTGAAGGCAAGGAATAAGACAAGAAAGGAGCATGGCAATTACATAAGGCTGTTAAAAGCTGTGGAAACAAGGACCATGTCTATTTGGCTCACTGTTTTGTCACTTGCTTTTGGCAAATTGTGTGATCCATAATAATAAATGTTTGAATGAATATACATTACTGCAGTGGTGTGTTGGTAAATGTTTAACAACCTGTTCATTGGGGAGCAGAGGCAGAGAGAGGAAAGGCACAACTTCCAGTGTTGACTGACTTTTGTGGTGTAAATACTTCGTCATCAATTTCAGTCACCAATGTCATATCAGTGAAGATGAAGATGCGGACAGATGCACACAATCAGCTTTTGTCAGCCAGTATTAGCTGGTTCCAGCATGCCACCATTTAGCTGTGCATATTAAGGAAAAATAGAAATGACAAATATGGATGGCTAAAACTAATAATACATAATCTGGAAAAATAAATTTGAAGATGAGTGGGAGAGATCATTTTCTAGGAGTCCTTAGAAAGGAGGCAGGTAAACATACTTTGACTTCATGATTCAGCTTTGACTGTGAAGAATTCTTTCTTCTATGGTTTCTTTTTCCTATTCTACAATCCCTATGTAAGAAGTCTGTAATATTCTGTACAGGCATATCTCAGAGATATTGGGAGATCAGTGCCAGACCACTGTAACAAATTGAATATTGTAATAAAGTGATTCAAATGAGTTTTTTGGCTTCCCAGTGCATATTAAAGTTATGTTTACACTATATTTTACTATAGTGTCCTATGTGTACCCTACACTATTAAGTGTGCAATGGCACTTTGTCTAAAAAAAAAAGTACACACTTTAAAAATATTGCTAGAAGATGGGATCCCTGGGTGGTGCAGCGGTTTAGCGCCTGCCTTTGGCCCAGGGCGCGATCCTGGAGACCCGGGATCGAATCCCACGTCAGGCTCCTGGAGTATGGAGCCTGCTTCTCCCTCTGCCTGTGTCTCTGCCTCTCTCTCTCTCTCTCTCACTGTGTGCCTATCATAAATAAATAAAACAAAAAAATTAATAAAAAAATATTGCTAGAAGTTGCTAACCATCATCTGAGCTTTCAGGCTATCATAATCACTGATCACAGATCACAATAAGAAAAATAATAATAATGAAAAAGTTTTCAATATCACAGGAATTACCAAAATGTGACACAGAGACAAAAATAAGCAAGTGCTATTGGAAAAATGGCACCAATAAACTTACTCAACACAGAGTTGCCACAAACTAATTTATAAAAAAATGTAATATCTATGAAATATAATCCAATGAAGCACAATAAAGCAATATATACTTGTACTTGTTGAGTAGATATGCATCAAGGCAGACTTTATGTAGTTGGAATTAACACAAGACAAATTACAGTGTCTTCTGCCTTCAGACTGGAAAGAATAGTCCTATGTATCAGTTCAATGCAGCACACTCTTCTTTAATATCCCAATACAACCATTTCACAAAGAGCTCAACTTGGACTTTGTTCTGGAAGAAGATAATTGGAGTCTAATATATGAATACAAATATACAAAAAAAAAACCAAATATACTAATACTGACATGCACCCTGGATGTCTTCTCCTTCTGCTGGAACCATCTACATTGTTAATCGCTGAGTCATTATGTAGTGTCTCATCACTTGGTGTTTGATGGTATATTGTAATTAAGAGATCATGTTCCTACTTGGATTCTCAATGAGGTGTGGAGCTTCCACTGATGAAGAACAGTCATTTTCATCTGTGTCTCTTAGGAACTTCACACCGAGAACTGTAATCTCAAAAATTTTGATAGCCTAGATGAGCAACTTGATATTTTCCTAGAGTTGAGTAGTAAAAGA